CGAATCTCGGGCAAGTAACATACTGATGACAAAGGGAACAACGTATGTTGTTATGCGGTTTGACCGATAAAGATCTTCGTAGAATATGTGGGAGCCAATATGAGCATCTAGGTTTCGCTATTGGTTATTGACCGGAGACGTGTCTCGGTCATGTCTACATAGTTCTCGAACCTGTAGGGTCCACATGCTTAAAGTTCGATGACGGTTATATTATGAGTTTATGTGTTTTGATGTACCGAAGGAGTTCGGAGTCCCAGATGAGATTGGGGACATGACGAGGAGTCTCGAAATGGTCGAGACGTAAAGATCGATATATGGTCGAGGAGGTTGGGGATGCGACGGTGACGGCGTGGTGATGTGGTGGCGTTCGGCGATGGCGTCAACGAGGCAAAGGCCATGGGCGGGCGACGTGCAAGGAAGAAGGAGGGGCGAGGAGGAGGTCCGGTGACGGGGCGGGGCGCCATCGGGGACGGGCGCCGTCGTCAGAGGTGCGGGGCACGATCGTCGGAGGCGCGAGGCGTGGTCGTCGGGGTGGATCCCCGATCCAGATCGAGGGGGGACTGGGAGGAGTGAGGGGGATCGTCGGGGTAGCGGTTTTATGGTTTCAGGGGGGAGCAAGGGGGCCATATAGGCCAGGGGAGGTGCGGGGTGGGCCGGCCTGGCTGAGGGAGTGGCCGACTGGGCGGGCCTGTTGGGTCGGTTGGCCCAGGGGAGGGAGGTTTCCTTTTTTTATTTCTTCTTTTTCTTTCATTTATTCTTTTCTATTTTATTTTAGTTACACTTTATTTTTAGTTTAGTAAAATATGACAATAGCTTCAAAAATAGTGTTTCAAAATAACCCACTACCCTAAACAGTTCTGCCTAAAAAATAAATAGTTTATCATTTAATAAAATATCAAAGGCACTTATTTAATCGTTTCAACTACTGTTTTAATCATTTTAGAGTATTAAAACATTTTATAAAAGTGGGGTTTCTTCACCACAATTAACTTTGCATTACTTGGCACAACTCGGACATTTTAGTTCTAAAGTTTGAAAACTTTTGTTGTTTGCCTTTAATTCAATTTTGAATTTGAATCGGTTTTGAACTATCCTGAGATTAACTATAGTGACAGAGGTGACGTGGCATCATTAGCAGTGTATTAGTGTAGTCTAATTATCTGGGCATCACGTCCAATCATAATTTTCATAGCAATATTTAAGTATAGCAAATTTTTCTGATTTTTAAGGAGTGCCATGATATTTTCAAGCAAAGAACCAACTTCATAAGCATCCTTAAAAGGAAGAAATTCCTTAATTTGCTCAATATCATAGTAACCATAAACATCATTAGCATAGGAACCTAGGATCTTATTATCATCAAACTCACATTGAAAGGGAAGGTGTTTTTTGTCTTTTATAAAACAAGTGAAATCATATATAGAGCACAAATTCCAAGCATAGCAATATATATAACATATTAATTTGATCCTTCAAGTGTTTCCCTTTTTGAGACAAGCGATGGCGCACAAAGTAAGCATGCTCTTCTAATGATTTCTCATCAGCTCAACTAGTTGGATTTCTAGCACGAGCACAAATGGATCGAAGATTATCCAAGTAGAAAGCTTCAGTAGTAAGGAATTTAAGTGGCTCCATATCCTTTGTTTTATTTAGTTTTCAACGTGTCAAGGATAAAGGTAGCATAACTAGGCAAGAAAACAAAAACAAGCAAATAAATGGTGTTTGTGTGGAGGCACTTGATTTCGTAGATGACGACTCCTCGGCAACGGCACCCGAAATTCTTCTACTACTCTTGTAGGAGTTGTTGGGTTTCCCTGAAGAGGAAGGTGATGTATCATAGTAGAAGAAAGTATTTCCCTTGGTTAAAAACCAAGGTTTATCGAAGCAGTAGGAGTCACTAAGCTAACAACTTTAGCAATACCTGCACACAAACAAATAATTCTCTTACACCCAACAAAGGCAAAGGCGGTCGCCAATCCCCTTGTTCTTGCTAGTTACAAGATTAAAAGCAAATAGTGATAGGCAGTGCGGAAAAATAGTAAGAGAAATCAATTGTAGTGTTTTTTGTATTGATGAAAGATAGACCCATGGGCCATAGGTTCACTAGTGACATCCCTCTTGAAAACATATAGTGACATGATGGACAAATTACTGTTGGGCAATCGACCGAATAGCGCAAATTATAACTATGATCAGTAATGGAATAACCACACATAGGCATTACATCTGTGATAAGTAGATTGTTAATCCAACTGCATTTATTACTATTACTCCATCCCAAGACCGTTATCCAACATGCATCTCAAATTATTAAGTTCATAAGAAACAAAGTATCGCAATAAGCAAGATGATATAATGTAGACAGGAATAGAACAATTGATATGACCAAACCCCGTCGTTTTATCCTTAGTGGCAGCAACACAATACATGCATTTGTCCTTCTGTCACTAGACAAGATCATCACAAGATTGAACCCACTACAAATCACCTCTCTACTAAAGATAAATCAATGAAACTTGGCCAAAATAGATGAATATGCCGGAGAGAAATATAAAGCTATAAAACTATCCATAATTCATCGGATCTCAACAAACATGCCACAAGAATTACATCAAATAGATTTTCGAAGAGATCATTGTATTGAAGATAGAGAGATAGATAGATAGATAGATAGAGAGAGAGAGAGAGAGAGGAGAGCCATCTAGCTACCCATATGGACCCGTAGGTCCTAAAAAAACTACTTACACATCATCATGGAGGCAACAGGGTTGATGAAGATGACCTCCTCAATGATTCCCTCATCCGACAGAGTGCCAAAACAGGGCTCCAGATGGGATCGTGTCAGAATAAAGACTTCCAGCGATGATAAAATTGTTTCGGATCTCGCTATGAGGGTTTCAGAATATATGTGTATTTATAAGCCAAGAAATAAAGGAACGGAGCACCAGGGGCCCATGGGCCACCCCCGCGCGCCCTACCCACTGGGCGCGCCCTAGTAGCTTGTGCCCCCTCGTGGGTCTTCTTGCCTCATCCCGAATCTTCTAGGGGTATATTATGTTTTTTTGCGAAACAAAAAACATGCGGAAAGATAGAAACTGACACTGGACACTAAATTAATAGATTAGTTTAGAAAAATAATATAAATGACATAGAAAGCAAACAAAAATGATAATATAATAGCATTTAACAATAAAAAAATATAGATACATTTGAGGCATATCAGCTGTGTCAGCGGTCCCTCGGGCTCGAGGACCGTCGTTTTCGAGGAGGAGCGAGCGGCGAGGCAGCAGACACGATACGACCGGCGCAACACCCCCCGCCGCTTCGCGTTCACGAAGTCCGACGCAGCGCTGGAATGGGTCCACGATGACCCGACCCTCACCATGACGTGGGCCCTCGACCGCTCCATCACCGCCGCAGAGACAACCGCTGGGCGTTGCCGTCACCTTGACGGCGAGCTCGTCAAAATCGACGAGGAGTGGTTGTTTTGAAATATACGCGTAGGAAGCGGATCCTCTAACATAGAGAAGGAAATTCACGGTGCTACAGTACTAGCCTAGTGTAAAATGAAAAAGAAAAGTTAGGGACTGTTAGTAGGTAGTTAACATGTTGTTTACTGTTGATATTTACTATAGATATAAATAATTTAAAATTAATTTTATTTCATCATCAATTTATTTATATGTAATTACTATAATGTACACAACAGATCATCGATTTGCAAATTAATTTAAGTCGTTTTAACCTTAATTATATAGATAGAAAGAAGAAAAATTAGGATAGTATAGCTTCTCTAACTTTCCTTTTCAATGTTAAAGGATCCAATTTCATACATGTATAGCGTTGGATGACCGGCACACATACGTGAGAGAAAGTTTATGGAATGCTAGGAGATGCCTTAAAGCAAGGGATTAAAAAGACGATCTTGGGTAACTGGATCTGCTATCTCCACGTGTTGTGTTCACGCTCTGGAACAGGAATTCCCCTCACCTCCGTTCTCCAAGCGCAACGTGAAAAAGGAAACGAAAAGTAGAGGAGAAGAATCGCAGCTCCATTATAGGAAGACCAAGGCCCTGTTTGGTTTAGCTTTTATTGACGGATTTCGCTGCCGCGCAGCAGAATCTGAATCAAACGACGAACCCAGCAGAATCCGATTTTAGAAATCCGCTGCCAAAATTTAAACCAAAAGCGGAAGCAGACCAGGACGTGCTTTTCAAAATCTGATTCCGCTGTGAGCCAAAATCTGAAAAAAACTGTATCAGCTGATTTGCCAAATGACCTACATCTTTTTCACATCAGATTTTCCACAGCTGTTTTTCCACAGCAGATTTTTTACAACTGATTTTAGAAATTCACAGCCGAACCAAACAGGCAAGACGAAGACGCGTGCATGTGCAATGTATGTGCGGCACGAACGAGTGATCCACCCACCCACCCCATCCGGCCGTCCCAATCCCCTCCACTCCATCCGCCCACACGAGTACAGTGCAGGTTCAGTGCATCCAGCTCCGGCCAGCGCAACTTGTCCCCTGGGAGCGCCAAGGGCGGCCCCCGCCTCCCGTCTCTGTCCCTCGCGCCGATTATTCAATTCCCACCTACTCCGTCTCTTTCTTCCCTACTCCGCCTC